AAGACTCCAGGAGAGGGAAGAAGACTACGGGAATTCTTTATAGACAGCTTAAAGTTACGGAAATGCCCTTCGTTTTCTCGCTGATTTACATAAGTGGGTAGGTACACGACTCGAATCGCGTGTTGTGATCGCGCGTTTTGTCACACATTCAACTTTGCATGTTTTTTAGTGATGTATACTACTACTATAAGTTATTTCATTTTTATGAATATTCTAAAACGCGTTTATTACAATTGACTAGATGAATCGCTGCTATAAATCATCACTCAAAGTCGTAATTGGAGATATAATAGAAAATGATTGTATTAAGTTTTTAAACATAAAATTATTTAATAAATTTTTTGAACTACGTTATGTGAACAAATAGGAAATTTTCTTGAAAAAACTATTATAAAGATTTTCACCTGTTTAGGTAGGTTTTGATTTTCACTTATTTAGGAAGATCTTCCTAAAAACCTTCCTAAAGAAGTAAAAAACTTTCTTAAAAAAATTTTAGGATAGATTTTCACTTGTTTAGGAAGACCTTCATAAACACCTTCCTAAACAAGTAGGAAACCTTCCTAGAAATAAATTTAGGAAGGATCTTCACTTGTTTATGATGACCTTCCTAAACACATTCCTAAACAAGTAAGAAACTTTCTTAGAAAAGAGAGGAAATATCTTCACTTGTTTACGAAGGTCTTCATAAACACGTTTCTAAACAAGTTGGAAACCTCCTATAAATAAGCTTAGGAAGGATTTTCACTTGTTTAGTATTCCTAAACAAGTAGGAAACCTTCCTAAATATAAGTTTATGAAGGATTTTCACTTATTTAGGATGGTCTTACTAAACAAGTAAGAAACTTTCGTAAGAATAAGTTTAGGAAAAAGTTTTACTTGTTTAGGAAGACTTTCCTAAATACCTTCCTAAACAAATATGAAACTTTGTTAAAAATAAATTTCATCTTATTATCTCGTCTTTAGTGAAATGGTTTCAATATATTTTTAGTAAAATAATATATATTCTTTCTCTTTAAATCAACAACCTCTTAACAATCTTTTGACACCAATATTATTTAATATTTTTATGTCTTTTATATTTTTATTCATTTGTTCTTATATGTATATTCATTTTACATATTTTTAATTTTTGAAATTAAATATATAAAATTTTATCGTTAACCTAAGCTCATAATCAAATATATCTATTGATATAATTTTAAATATTCAAATAGTTTTATATGTACTACTTTTAGTTATTTGTTAATTTATTTTTGTTTTTATTTAATTATAAATTTTAGAAACTATAAGTGACAATAAATATACATAAACATGAATTAAATGAAACTTAATTAAAATTAAACTAATTGTGAAAAAAATGTTTTGCCTATATAAACATATTAGATGGAGAAAAAACTTTGCTATTATATATATAGATTATTTAAATATCAATGATATTTTAAAATGTGATCACTACAATCGAGTAGATGGAGTTAAGAGTTTTATTCTGAACAATTAATCATAAACTAGCATTAATCGAAGAATTTAATTAAATTAAGTTTTAACGCGTAAAAATATTTTATAAATTTTTTTTTGAGTATTGATTAAGTGCTACATATATCATTTTCTAATAGCTGATTATACCGAATTTTGAACATTAGTTCTATATTTGTAGTCTCAAAATTAGTCTAAATTAGTCTACATTTCTTTTCCTTTAAAAACTTCGATCATAAATGTATAAATGAAATGACTATACTTGCCTACTTGGATATGAAATTGTGAAGCATATAAAGTTCAAAAACTAACAAAAATATGAAGTAAGTAGCAAATGACGGTGGGCCACAGTGCGGTTGCGTTTTGCGATTTGTGGTAGTAGTGGTAGGTACTTTATGTGGCTCTAAGTTCTCATAATATTCATATACTATGTAAGGACTCTTTCGTAATTTAACCTACCAATCGAATTTTGAAATGATAATTTACTAAATTTGATACGTAATCATTTATTGTAGTTGCCCATATGCTCAATCAGATCACCGACACATTTTCCATTATTGTCACTTGTGAGTGAATTACTCATTGATTTGGTTTTCTTAATCTATACGATCATTAACATTTAATTAAAGACGCTTATAAAGAAGCGGGGCGATTTTATGAGAAGTAGTTTAAGGGGGGTAGAAATAGAGAAACGAGTTTTATTCAGGGACCATTTTTGTAAACGTAGCACGTGCGAGCACGTGAGTATATGATTGGGGTTTCTTCATCATCGGACCGATCAGAGAATCGCCGGTAAGAGAAAAAAATGGCGACAGCGATTTCTCTCTCTCTCTCAAACGCAACAACGCAATTGAAATCGAAATCATTCCACAAGTCTAGACTTATCTCAAGCTCTAGACTTTCTTACTCTTCCTCAAGTCGCGAAATTTCTTTCAAATCGCGTTCCAGTTTCGACGGAGATACTGTTCCTATCTCGTGTAAGCGTCGGTTTGACTTTCTTCTTAATTGCGGCATTTCGTCGAACGACTTCCCGACTGAGAAAAAGAAGAGCTTCGGAGAGTGGATTGAGTTTGTGGGAGATGCGGTATCGACGGCGTTTCCGATATGGGTTTCTTTGGGATGCTTGTTGGGGTTGATGAGACCAAGTACCTTCAATTGGGTCACTCCCAATTGGACAATTGGAGGTCTTACGATCACTATGCTTGGAATGGGAATGACTTTGACACTCGATGATCTTCGTGGCGCGTTAAAGATGCCTAAAGAGCTCTTCGCTGGCTTTGTATTGCAATACTCGGTCGGTTTTGTCTCTCATTGTCCATTGATGGAATTTGAATAACTGAGACTATTTGTTTTGTCTGCTGTGAATTGGGAATTTGTAAGAAAAATCAGGAAATATGAGATCTTGAAGTCAACCAGTGTAGATATCTGATAATAGTTTTGTTGGGTTTGGTAACATAAACTTGTTGAGTTGTTTGAGTTCTTGCTTGAGCGCATAAATCTTGGAGCTTTAAGCGAATCATCAGTGCATGATTCTGATTCATGTTTTACTGTGATGAAATCGTGTTGCAGATCATGCCATTATCAGGATACTTAGTGAGTAAGCTCTTAAATTTGCCAGCACATTATGCAGCCGGTCTTATATTGGTTGGTTGCTGTCCAGGCGGTAAGAAAATACATTCTTTACTTGATTGAATTTCATAACATTCTAGTTTGTTCATGTTGTGAGCTCTGATGCTTTTTGTCATTTGTTATATGAAGGTACTGCAAGTAATATTGTCACGTACATTGCGCGGTTTGTAGTCCAAACAAAAAGAAAAGTTTTTTTGAGCTCCATTTTGTTTCTTATTGTACGACTTGATGATCTGAGTTTCTTTGTTTGTGCTACAGTGGAAATGTCGCGCTATCAGTGTTGATGACAGCAGCTAGCACTCTTACCGCTGTGGTTAGTGTGACTTAATGTCATCGTTTTTTCCCTTCTTCTTGTTGATTAAGGCACCACAATGTAATACTCTTCACGCTTTCTAGGTTATGACACCGCTCCTTACGGCCAAGCTTGCCAAGCAATATATCACCGTTGATGCTTTAGGATTATTAATGTCAACACTACAGGTTTGGTTGGTTCAGTTAGTTTCCTGTTCAAATTAGAAAGAGCGCGTTTTTGTTCAATGGATTAAAGGTTAACCCTTCTTGGCTCTTGTGTGGCCACAGGTGGTTCTTCTCCCTGTGTTGGCTGGTGCATTTCTGAACCAATACTTTCAAAAGCTGGTGAAATTTGTCTCTCCTGTGATGCCTCCAATTGCGGTTGGAACAGTTGCGATTCTGTGTGGATATGCTATCGGTCAGAACTCATCTGCGATACTCATGTCTGGGAAACAAGTAGTCCTAGCTTCAAGCCTTCTTCACATCTCTGGATTTCTCTTTGGGTATCTGTTTTCAAGATTACTCGGAATTGATGTAGCATCATCTAGAACTATCTCTATCGAAGTTGGCATGCAGGTAACTAAAAGTTTTTTCAAATGAAACAGTATGACGAGCTGTTTAGAACTCGATTTCAATTGAAACTTTTTTTTTGTTTTTATTATGGTGAAGAACTCGGTGCTTGGAGTTGTTCTTGCCACACAGCATTTTGGAAATCCGCTCACCGCAGTACCGTGTGCTGTCTCTAGTGTTGCTCACTCCATCATCGGTAGCGTCTTGGCTGGAATTTGGAGACGCAGTGCGCCAAAACAGCTTCAAGACTGAAAACTGAACGTTGGAACTTCATGGAGTCTCACTGTTACCCATATTGAACAGCTTTCAGGACCATTTAGTTAAGTTTGTTGAACCAAAGGGTCATGTCTTGTTTTGTTACGGTATGGTGAAATTATCTTCGAATGAATGTTTTGTTTTCTAAGTCTCAGATTTTTCTTTAAAGAACTCTTGATCATTTAATTGATGAAAGCAAAGGTTATTACGTAAATTTGAATATCTATTGAGGGTAGTTTCGGGATTTTAAACCGGGATAGTCTTGGTAACAGAGGATAAAAGTCGTCTTCTCCAAATCGATTTTTCTTCTCTCTTTCTCTCTGATTTGGTTTCAATATCAAGTTCTTAATCTGTTCGTGACGATTAAAGACTTGTCCTTTAGTTTCTTTGTTTTGGTGCTTCCTAGAAAAGTCCATGGAGGAAGAAGGAGAAAGACAGTGGAGCTCTCTCATAGTACCTTCTGTTCTAGAGATGGTTAAAGAGAAGAACTTGACGACTGTTCCTTCGAGGTATGTCCGGTCTGATCAAGAAAAACCTGAGCTTTTAGATGATTCTAGTCTCAGTTCCGAGATTCCACTAATCGACATGAAACGCTTATGTTCTGTTTCCGCCATGGATTCCGAGCTTCAGAAGCTCGATTTAGCTTGCAAAGATTGGGGATTTTTTCAAGTTAAGTATCTTGTATCTGTTTATTTCTCTTAGAATATGATTTATATTAAAATCTCTTATGATTGGTTTGAATCTGTTTACAGCTAATAAACCATGGAATAGACTCATCTTTCTTGGACAAACTAGAGACAGAGGCTCAAGATTTCTTCAACCTCTCCATGGAAGAGAAGAAGAAGTTGTGGCAGAGAAATGGTGAATTCGAAGGATTCGGACAAGTGAACGTTGTGTCTGAGGATCAGAAACTTGATTGGGGAGACATGTTCATCCTCACTACTCAACCAATTCGATCTCGCAAATCTCACTTGTTCTCCAAATTACCTCCTTCTTTCAGGTAGAAATTTTCAAGTTTTGTTATGTTATTACTAATTACTCTCTCTCACACTTGTAATGCGTTTTCTGTATTCAGAGAAACTGTAGAGACTTACTCCTCTGAAGTGAAGAACATAGCTAAGATCCTTTTTGCGAAAATGGCGAATGTTCTCGAGATCAAACGCGAAGAAATGGAAGATTTGTTTGATGATGTTTGGCAATCTATCAAGATTAATTACTATCCGCCATGTCCGCAACCAGATCAAGTTATCGGTTTGACTCCACATTCAGATGCTGCAGGTCTCACAATACTATTACAGGTGAATCAAGTTGAAGGACTTCAGATCAAGAAAGACGGCAAATGGGTTGTCGTAAAACCACTTCTACATGCTTTAGTTGTTAATGTTGGTGAAATCTTAGAGGTAAGAGATAATAACTAAAAGACTAATAAGTTTCCAGTTGTTAAAAGTATGGTTGCATTCTTCTGATGTGAGTGTTTTGTTATTGTAAAGATCATAACAAACGGGAGATATCGAAGCGTCGAGCATAGAGCGGTGGTAAATTCCGAGAAAGAGAGGTTATCGATTGCGATGTTTCATAGTCCGGGAAAGGAGACAGTGATCGGTCCTGCGAAAAGCCTTGCCGAAAAGCACCAGAAGCAAAGGTTGTTCAAAAATATGACCACACAAGAGTTCTTTGATGCTTTCTTTACTCAGAAGCTCAATGGAAAATCCCACCTTGATGATCTTATGACTATTTAAGTAAAAGACCCTCATAAAAACCATATCTCCAATAATAGATCTTTATTAGGTTCTCTAAATTATGTTGTAAACCTCGTAATTACGGTAATCTTCTTGTAATTAAAGTCATAATACATACTCTAATTTAGGCCATTAATTATTAAGCCTTTTTTTTTCTTGGTCAAAGCCATTATTATTAAGCCTTTCAAAAATAACTTTTATTAGAAAGAAAACTTGGCATTAATAATAAAAAAAAAAATATAATTAGCAATCTAACCAAAAATAAAATTTTATAAAAGAAAAATCTTATCTTTATATCATTTTCAGATTCCGATTCTACTAATCTTTTAGAAATCGTTTAACTTTTTCTATGTAGCAAAATTCATTTTATATAAGAAAAACCTTATCTCTATTTCATTTTCGGATTTCGAGTCCACTAATCTTTTAGATTTTGTTTAGGTTTTGTCTCCGCAAAAAAATTTTCGTCTTCTTTTCATAGGATTTAATATGAGGTTATTTTGTAGTCCGTCGGCTTAATTTTCGAAGTTTTTTTCAGCCGCCCTAGTTTGAATCTCGGTAAATAAGAAGGGATTTAATTGGCTGGTCACTGTAGTGTTGGGTGGACGCGAAGCACCGGATTATAGCTCCTCCTCACCCCACAAAGTACACAACCAGTAAACCACCGGAAGACGATACCAACCGTTATATTATTAACAGTCGTCGACAAAAAAACCTCAAAAGACAGAAGTCGAAAAGGATCAATTTTTCGACGAATTTCATTTCACTTCTCTTTTAGCGAATCGATTGGTCTGTTTTTGGTGACGAGTAAGGAAAAGGATTTTGATATTTTTGGGTGTTTTTCTGGGTATTTTTAAGGGTTTCGATTACAAAGTCGAGCTTTTTATTTTGGGTGTGGAGTAATGGCGAGTGTTTCTGCAATTGAGATTGATAAATAC